CTCTTTGGGGGGGGGGTAGTAAGGGGGAGAAACTGAATTGGGCTTAACCAGCACGGCACGGCAATGTAGGTTTGCTTAAATCCAAGGGACACAATTTCACAACAAACAGTCACTTTTACGCGATTTATTTGAGAAGAGTACACTCAAACAAGGAACACTCTACAGAAAAACACACTTTACAGAGTGCACTCAGAAACACACACACAGCAGACTCTCGGAACAAAAACGCTAATCATCGAGGATTATCGACACGAAAAACAGACAAGGGGGTGGAAAATCGCGGCACGGCGGGAAGGGGCTCCTGGCCTTGTCCGGGACTTTGCGACTTGGAACTTTAGGATTACGAAAAGAACGAGTGACACCTACGTTGACGGGAGGAGGATAACCGGACCGTAACCATGAACGAAGAGCGACTCAATCCGAGAGTGAATCCGAGACATGGAGTATAATCCTTGTAAGTTAAAAATTGGCTATCTGCTTCGGATGGCCTCTTGGACAAACTTATACAAACACAGACGGCAGAGAATTTGTCTATAAAGGTGCAAATGCAGGCGTTTCACAGTTCTGGTCTATGTGCCAATGTGGACTGGAAGGTTTTTTTTTTTTTTTTTTTTTTTTTTTTTTTTTTGTGAAAGGGAAGAAAAAAATAATAAATAATAATTTTGTATTCTTATAAAAAAAATCGACGCATTAAATTCAGTAGATTATTTAGACTTCCCTAGTTCCAGTTGTTAACGCTCGCCCGACTCGAGATTACAATTGTGAACATAGCGAAGTGGTTTTAGATTTTAGCACTCAAAAAATGTGTGAGTGACCGACCTTGGTGGAGTCCGAAGCTCGCGGGGGGGTCGTGGAGGCGGCGTAATCTTAGGCAGTTCGAAAGGAGGCGCGGTTTCGGCCTTTGGATGTGGAGCCGAGCTGCGAGGAGACGAATGAATAAAGTCAGCGGGGACTGGGAGATCTCTAGGCTTCTGCACCTTGCGATTCCAGCCCTTTAGCGCCACAGTGGTTGCGAGGGTAGGATCCTTCTTGCGGTGACGGAACTGTCGGAAGTCGTTGGATCGACGGATCTTGGTAGCAGAGTTGGCGGTCGGTTTAACGAAGATGCTCCCCAACGGCTGGGAGATGGTTCTTTGCTGTTGCGTCGACATTTTTTGCTCAAGAGAGGTTGGCAAAAGCAGGTTATTATCACGAATCAAGCACATCTTCAGAGGAGACATATTTTTTACGAAACGCACAACAAAAAATGCGAGAGGGGATCTCCGATCAGCGATAGTCATATAGGTCTCATCTATTTACCCTGACCGATTACGAAGTAAGGATAAAATTCGACGTTTGTTGATGTTTACCCATGAAACTTAGTGACTTTATCGATTTCCACATGCAGGTGTCCATTTTTTGAATGTCATCGATGATGAAACCCAAGTTATAGTTGAATTCAGTCTCATTCAAGCGTATAAATTTGAAATAAAAAGCAGAGTCTTCCCGCAGCAGTTCATTTTCAATGTCGTTTAAAAGCCATTTGTTCTTGGTGTCCCACCTTAAGAAATAGTCTCTAATACGATGAAGTTAAACATAAAAGTATTCTTCTCGCAACTCTTGCTCTTGGTTAACTGACGGAGGATTACCATTTTGCTCATTGACTGATTCCATATTAACCTGATGAGCTTTAACGTTATTATTAAAATTTTGATTGTAGTTACTGAATAGCTAATTTTGGTTTTGAGGAGTCGTTGGCGTAGTCTTAGACTCCGGGATCTTTAAGTGCATATTCATTCTATCTAATGCCTGTAATTTAAGAAGAGGTGACTTAATATTGAAAGGTTCAGATTGGATCATTACCTACTGTACTTGTCGAGGAAAACGTTCTAGAACAGGAAAAACAATCTCTGGCTCACGGAGCGGATTGTCAAGATTGGATTATTTCTCGACTTGTGCTGAGAAATAAGAAGCAAAATCGCTGGAATTGACTTTATACTAGTCAGGTTTGAAAAGTGTGGATCTGACCTTTTTCTAGACATTTTCTCCCCAGAAGTACTTAGATAAGTCTAACAAATGAAAAAAAAGAACTTTTTTATACCATTTTATCGTCTTGCAAACACTCTCAGCCCCACCTAAAAGCATATCTGTCTTATCAACAGCACCCATGTTTTTTCTGTAATTTACAATGCAATAAGGTTTACATTGTTCCTCTCTATTCTTTTTTTTGCACCAATGTGCTTTCAAATTTGTCCATGGATGTTAGCATGAGAACTTCTCTTCTGTCCATGAATCGCGTGTCTCTCTTGCATCTCTCCTCTTTCCAGTTTTATAACTTTTGGAGGTTTTTTTCCAGAAGACTTTCTTAGTTTCTTCTTCACTTTAAAACGTGCCATGCCTTGCCTATTTGACTTGACAGTGCCACATTTTGTATTTCTAAATTGAAGGAGTTGGCAAAGAGTCGGGCTAGTATAAAAGTTATCCGCAAATAAATTATATCCCTTATCTAAATAAGGCTGCATCAATTTCATTGCCAAAACCCAGATTTCCCTGCTTTATAGTTGCCTGCATATTCTGTCTTCGAACCGAGGTAGAGGAGAAAGTCAACAATGTACCAGCTGACGCTGTCGCACAGCTTATAAAACTTTGACGCTTTCTTACCCCCCCCCCCCGAATGTAGGTAAAAAGGTACAAGGTAAAAACGAAATATATATCTTACTATACTATATACAATACTACAATATATGTAATCTTTATTTCTCAACAAAATACACAAAATACACGAAAAATACATAGAGCTGACACTAAACTTTAATCCTCATGTCAGGGGAAAAGACACCGAGGGACGGGTGAAAGTGCAGCAGTAATCGTGCGTGCACGGGAGCGTAATGCTGCAGTAATCGTGCGAGCACGGGAGAGGGATGCTGCACTGCTGCAGTAATCGTGCGAGCATAGGAAAGTGCAGCAGTAAATCGTGCGTGCACGAGAGGGAGGGATCCAGTGGTCCGTTGAAATGCACCAGAGCCCGGGTCCTCGCTGTACTCCACCAGTTGATGCATTCTTCTCTGACTATCTGGTTGAACAGATATATCTCGATCTTGCAAGTCTCATATCCAATTTCCCCAGGAGTTACTCGGAGTTACTAACTTTAGCTGGGCGCCGTTCTCCTGACGCGACACAACAGGTAAAAAAAACCTCTTGGTTCAAGAGTGCAGTTTCTTGTCGCCGGATTTAAGAGTCTGGACTCTTGTTTCAAGCGGATTTTGAATTGAATCAATGCAAAATCCGCTTGAACCAATGCAAAATCCGCTTGAAACTAGAGTTCAAGACTCTTAAATCCGGCGACAAGAAACTGCACTCTTAAGTCAATGCACCGCGGCATTGGTCCAAGAGGTTTTTTTTTACCAGTGGAGATAAACTGACAAATTACGCCATATTTGTCTGTCGACTGTTGCTGTTGCAACACACTTGCGAGCCAACCACCGTCCGAGATCTCCTCTGATGACTTTGGTAATG